TTTCCTTTCTCTTTTCCTTTCCTTCTTTCCCATTTCCTTTCCTTTTTCCTTTCCTTCCTTTCCTTTCTCTTTTCCTTTCCTTTCTCTTTTCCTTTCCTTTCCTTATTTCCTTTTCCTTTCTTTTTTCTTTTCCCTTCCCTGCCCTTTCCCTCCCTTCTTCATCCTTTCCTTCTTTCCCATTTCCTTTCCTTTTTCCTTTCTTTCCTTTCCTTTCTCTTTTCCTTTCCTTTCTCTTTTCCTTTCCTTTCCTTATTTCCTTTTCCTTTCTTTTTTCTTTTCCCTTCCCTGCCCTTTCCCTCCCTTCTTCATCCTTTCCTTCTTTCCCATTTCCTTTCCTATTTCCTTTCCTTCTTTTCCTTTTTCCTTTCCTTTTTCCTTTCCTTTTTCCTTTTCTTTTTCCTTTCTTTCTCTTTTCCTTTCCTTTTCTTCTTTCCCATTTCCTTTCTTTTCCCTCTCCCTTCCTTCCTTCTCTTCCTTCCTTCCTTCCTGGGGGTCTGAGGGAGAGGGAGGGGACCCTTTCCCTCCTTGCCCCCCTCCCCAACATCTGCTCTGATGGCAATTATGGTTAAAAAAAATCCAGGTGCTCAGGCATGAAAATGTGCCACTCAAACACTAGACTTTTCTGCACACACTGAAAAAAAATTAGAGGGAACATTGGACCTATCTTGATTTGATTGCTATTATATTAAACTATTTTTAATATGTTTATTACTTTGTGGCCAACAGTTCTTTAATTGTAGAAGATGATAAATGTTCTCCTTGTATAGATTGCTTTATATAAAATGGCACTAAACATTACTGCTTTGATATCAATGTACAGTGTACAAATTGACAAGAAAATAGTAAAAGAAAGGGAGAGAATGAAAGTTGGAATAAATAAGGAAAGAATGCATGATGAAACAATGCAGCTACATATTCCTTTAGTTTTTAAATTCATTTTGCATTTTATGGTATGAATATATATTTGAATATACTTGTCATTTCCTGATTGCTTTTTTGTATCCTATGACTATCATTAAGTGCTGTATCTTATGATTCTTGATGAATGTATCTTGTCTTTTTATGTACCCTTAGAGCATATGCACTAAATACAAATTCCTTGTGTGTCCAATTCCATTTGGCCAATAAAGAATTCTATTCTATTCTATTCTCTCTGTAGTGTGTATGAATCTCTTAATAAAAGTTATCTTGATAGATTATTTAATCTGAGGTGCATAAATAGATTTTCTGCATAATATTTCCTTCAAATGTTTTTTTCCTTTGTCCAGAGACTGCATGAAAATGGGAGAAGTGGATGGCAAAAAGATTGGATGTACTGTCAGCTTGTTGGTATGTATCTCTTTGATTCTGAATATCTTGCTATTCCATATTAAAGATGTCAAAGCTTAGTTGAGAAGCATATTCTTTAATAGCCTGCTTTTCAGACAGATTAAAAGTGCAAATTCTATTGCATGAGTAATGTACAGCAGTGAATTCAAAGCCTATTTTAAAAGAATAAAATATTTATGCTACATTGAATATATATTGATGGTTACCTAGTCAACGTTTTTGGAAGTATGTGGGGGGGGAGTGCAAATCCAGGAATAAAGAGATATGTGAGAGTTTAGTATATTCTACTAGAATTTTCTAAAGGACGGAAATGAGAACAGATATTATTCTATCAGCCAAATTTAATGATTTTCAGAGAGCTTCATGGCCCTGCTGGGATCTGAACCTGCTTTTCTCAATCAAATCCTAGTTCTACTTCAGTCCTAACTGCTATATCCCACTTTCCCTTAATACGTCAGTTATACTGTTACTGAGACACTTCTTATTTACTAAATTCAATTTACTTAGATAATTAAATTAAATTAAATGTAATGTACCAGTACTATATTTCATTCCACGTAGATTATTTTAAATCACTGTTGGGCCTGAAGTTGATAATGTTTGATGGAATGTTTGTGGTCTGGATGAATATTTTGTTCGATTTTATGCTTTGCTGGGTTCTACCACCAAATGTAAAGTTTATAGGATAGGATACTATATTAAACATACACAAAAACAATCTTAAGAATAAATAATGTCAAGTTCAAGAAGTTAAAGTATTATATTTTATATACCTGCCGACATGCAAATAGTGAAACAATAAAAGTTTTAGATTATTCAAGTACATGGGATTTTCAATTGTCATATTGTATCATAATGAGAGGTATCAGGCCAGGGTAAATGGCATTTAGGAGAAGAGGTCTTGCTGTAAAATCAGCCAACTTTAGCTTGGAAACTAACGAATATTTAAAAACTTATAAATCTGTAATATAGAAATTTACATAGAACTAAGTCCAATTGAAATCAGTTGTCCTTATTTGAACTAGATATGAGAAAGATTTTTATATTGTAACAAACCTCATCTAAGTATATAAAATATCTATTATTCTAGCAATGTTTGCCGATGTGAACAACCTATGCTAAAAGCTATTCGGTTGCTGGAGGCCCATAAATGCTGTGGCTAAACTGGAATGCCTTTGTTCATTAAAAAAAAAAAGAAAAAAAAGGAGAAGCTAGAAACATCCAAATTTGTGCCATTTATTTCAAGTGCCAAATAGTTGTCAATAGCAAGAGCTTGCCAGAGTCTGAATCCTTGGTGACATTTTAATTGCAGGGTATTTTTTCATGTAAGGCATGGACTCCAATTGCTGTTTTCTTTCATTATTCTTTTCAATATGGACTCAGTATTTGGTAAATACTTTACCTTCAACGTCAGATACCTTTGATTAGATTTTCCTGATGAAGGAACATAGGCACGACTTACAATTCTGTTTATCCCCTTGAAAGACAATTCTAGTATTTCAGCTCATGAGATTAAAAGGAAAAAGTGCTAGCTTTAGCTTGCGGTATTTTTCTGCAATTCTATTTTACTTAAAATTATGTAATGTAGTCTTTTTTGACTATCAACAAGAATATATTTGATACATTGCAGCGATGCTTGTGGCCCACAGGGATCCTGCATGAAAGTGGATTTTCTGTAAATATTACAGGCTGAAGAGATGGGAAAGTCAGAATAGTATCTTTGAAATGATCACAGGGATAAATAACATATCAATGCACAATTCTATTTGACTTTAAATCTTATGGTCCACTTTTATAATCACATTTCTAAATTTCCTTCTTTATATCGCTTAATTCAAAAAGAGTTTTTAAAATATAATTTTAGCACAATTCCATGTCTAAAAATAGCATTATTATTATTTATTTGTAATGGACAGAAATTGAGTCAAGGCTGTAATGCTATAATGCTCAAAGCTTTAATTTAGTTATGGATAGCGCTTTGTTTAGAAATATGTTTTTCTGTGATGCCTCATTCATATATGCAAATCATTGTTAGGCAGTCATTTAGTGATGATAGAACAAACATAGATTTCAGTTATTAGTTGGTGTGCATGCATTTGTGAATTAATTATAAATGTGCTTCTAATCCAAAATGCAAAACAAACAAAGGAATTAGAAAAATCCACAAGCAGGAGAGTTCATCCTAGTTACAATATGATTCTTATTTGAAAAATCCATCTCCTTACTAGGACAAATATAAAAGGACAAATATAAAAGTTATATCTAGCAGAGAGATGGGAATAAATCCATCATCACTACACAAGGTATACCTGTTTTTAAGATCAACAAAAGTTCTTTTGGTAGGTATAATCATATGCTGAACTTTCTATGTCACCTACATGTAACATACACTTCGTTATTCAAATAATTGACATAAATTCCCAAAAATTCTATATAGGTTGTCTATTGCAAGAGCATTCAATTTGCTTAAAGCTGGAACATTAGCTTTAGTCCAGAACTACAGTAAAATTGTCACAACGCTGGACAAAGCATTCAGTCCCTTGAATTCCCAATCATGAATATTACATTTGGCGCATTTTGGGAACCTAAATATTGGTTTTGCTTTTAAAAAGATGGTCAAGGGAGTGGGAGGCATCTGACAATCTGTCCCTTCATTCAAACAGCCATTCTGTTCCTGAATTTAAGTGGCATGATTTTGAAAGAGAGGATTTTTTCTTTCCTTCCTTCCTTAAGCTATTCTGTTCCCGTTTCTACACTTTAAAAATGCTGATACAAAGAAGAAAAACAAACAAACAACAGCTCCACTACCTCTGATAATATCATTACCATGATTCTAGTTTGTGGGAGTATGTTGTGAGGTTGTAATGGCTAAGATTAGGAAAGTAGCCTATTTATCAATTAGGATTTAGATAAAACTTCTAAATTTTTTAAACATGTATTTTTATTCACTTTCTGAGTTTAATATGTTATGTATATAATGTCAGTCATACAATGTATTCCTTTTTTATTTAATTTTTAAAATATAAAATAATTGCTTAAGGTCACATCCTTTTCAGGAGATAGAGCAGCAAAGTTGAGTTGAGTGATTTGTAGAATATAATTATATTATCTCTTGTAATAGTATTTAATAATTTGCTTCGGTTCCAGAATTTCTATAAAACAGAATTGAATAAAGAAGAGATGTACATTAGGTACATACATAAACTATATGATCTGCACCTAAAAGCACAAAACTTTACAGGTAAATATTTTTTTTGACATAACCTTGACAAAACATTTCTGGAAATATTCTAAATGTATATTACCTAGATCTTCTCTGCTATTAGAAAAAATGGGTTATAATCTATTATTCTATTATTAATCTCAGGAAGTGGGAGAAGCACATTTTATTCTTCAGGTACCAAAAAAACTTGATTGGATAAGATCAACCAGTGGATATTGTAGACCATGGATGCCAAACTCGCAGCATCATGTTGCCATCACATGACATTTCGTGATGTTTTTTCCCTTCCCAGAGCTGACGTGGGTGTGGCCTGCATGTGACGCATCTGGCCTGCAGGCCACCAGTTTGACATCCATGCTGTTGATCACTATGATACATGTTGACATGACTGTAATGTAGCCTGCCCATTATGGTTGCAAGTTATGATGGTGATAGCCTTGCTTAATAACCTCAATCCCTCTTCTCCACATTGTGGTTGTTAAGCAGATCGTGGGTGCATCAGAGGGGGGAAAAACCTTAGAAGTCCTTGTTCTGGCCCAGGCCTGTGCTTGCAGCACCTCCCCAGCTAACTTGATCACTTACCATTTCAATAGATCTCTTTCGAGAAGCAACCTTTCTACCGTAAGACCTTCTTACACAGAGGCCATGTGGCACTATTGTAGAATGAGTGCCAGTTTTGGAAGCAGTTGCTAAAAAATAGCATCCACTTCTTGGATGGGACCAAAGGGCTGCTATTGCATAGAGAGGCTGAGGAGTAGAGCGGCAAGCTCCTCTTCCCAAACCTGATCTCTGGTTCTTTGCTGGGCTCCTTGACCTCCCTATACTGTGGAGGCCATGTTGTGCCATCCCAGAAGCGTAAATGTGTGGAAAAGATGGCTATAACATTACTTTTAAGAATCCTTACTCCAAATAAATATGTAAATATGAATGTAGCATTCAACTATCTCAGAAAATAATAATTTGGGGGGTGGATTCATCTACCTGTTAGTCCCATGGGAACCAAGAATGACATTAGTTGGTCTGAATAGTTTCCTTATTGTTGCTTGCCTATAGAAAGAAACCTTGACAGACTAAAGGACTTCAGAGGTGGATTCCTACCGGTGCGGTCCGGTTCAGCCGAACTGGGTAGTGGTATGGCAGCCTGGGTCACCGGAACTTGCAGCGCCCCAGGCTGCCACGCCCCAAACTGTTCCCCGGTCACTGCCGTCACCGCCGCCATCTTGTTTTTAAGTTCTGTGCATACGCAGAACAATTTTAATTGAACTGCACATGCGCACACAGCACGTGACTAGCATGCATGAGTGAACCGGTAGTAAAGCAGCCAGAACCCACCCCTGAAGTACCTATGTGCATAACTACCAGATATACCTTGTGTAATGCTAGGAGGAGTTCACCTTTCTGCATATCAATGATTCCAAGCTTCTTTGTCTCTTTGCTTGCTGAGAAAGAGCCCTTACTCATACAACTCTGGCCTATATTCCATTATACTATCCTCCATCTGCATTTAACGTGTTATATTTATTTATTTATTTATTTATTTATTTATTTATTTATTTATTTATTTATCAAGCTTTTTAACTGCCCATCTCCCTCATCCATTTCCTCTCTCTTCCTGTTATCCCTATTTTGAGTAATACCTTAGGAATGTTTGTATCTATTTTTGATTGACCATTACTCAAGCTCTGCAAAATATGGCTAAGCTTAACTGTAGTCTATCTGAAACAAGCGGTCTTAAAACAATTAATGAAATTGCTCTCCTTCTATAACCCAGGGCCAGGATTAATAATAGTTTAGTGATTGTTTTTTATTTAACTAAATAACAGTTAAATACAATCAGAAGCAAAAGCATCTGGTCTCCTGCAGAAAAGGAGAGAAACATGAATAGGCAAAGCTTGTTTCATTCTCTTTACTTTATCCTGACATCTAAATGCAATTGCAGCGTTAACATCAAGAAATAAATTATTTAGTAACATATAAATTATTTATGGAATATATATATATATATATATATATATATATATATATGTATGTATGTATGTATGTATGTATGTATGTATGTATGTATG